CAGGGTTTTTCAATGGTTTGCTCAGAAAGCAAGCTAAGGCTAGTCGAATTGTTTACATTTCCTGGTTGAACAAAATCTCTTCGAAAGGTCAAATTGGGTCAACTTGCATGGAGCCGCTCGCCTCAGAAATAACTTTTGCCAAGAAAAAAAATTATATCACGTTCAAAAGCAGCTCTTGTACTTGCTAGAATCGAATTTTGAAAGAATTCTACAAAATACCGAGTATGTTTTGAGATGTTTGAAAATGGTATGGAATTTTTGATTTTCAAAGTCTAGAAATTTCGGTTCTCTTCGGTTGCTCTCCAGGAATTCGGAATTACAATTGTAAGTCTAAAATATCATCAAGGCAGCTTAGTAATACCTCCTAAATGAAATTATAAACTACGGAAAGCCAAAATTTGCTATGCGCCTTCACGCGAGTTCGATTATCTGATCATGAAATTTGACCTTATTTCTGTGATTTTTCGGCTTCACGGGTTGTCGACGGTTTTCCGTAATTTTCTCAAAAATGTAAAAACTCTAGAACCTAAGACTTATATCACGATTCTTAGCATACCATAGACGACGAAATATCAAGGACGAAATATCAAGGGGTCCATTTTTCCAACCTTATGCCACATTTTTTCAATCTCACTCGGTCCCTGTAGAGAGTCGCTCTTAAGACCACATAACTTGGAATAAAAGAAGCTTAAAACTTGACTAAATGGACAAAAGTAGGGCAGCTAACGATATTGAGCACTTGAGGGCTATTCACTGTGGCACTAAGAGCGTTTTACATTTTAGCTTTGCTCGTGGGTTACTTTCGTGAACATCTCCAGGTGAAAATGCATTTACCATTCTTCTCTAGGTCACGTTTGAAGGAATAGCAGGTTCCTCTTACATGGGTGACTTAGCCATCGATGATGTCTCGATTAGCAATGGAAGTTGCCAGGGACAAGCTACACCTCCACCGTCACTTCCAACTGTCTCACCAGGTGCTGCAAAATTCCTCTTTTAATCAATCGACCACACTAAAGCTAATAGTTTCTATAGGAACTGTTGCTCTACTTTGGAGAGCAAGTGAAATAATTAGCTCACTATGGCAATTAGGCAGACAGAGCAATTTTTCTTTCCAGAACAAGAAAAGCCAGTTGAAAATGAAATTTACTAGATCATGTTTTGTAGCTATCAGTCTAAAAACAAAGGTATAGGACAATTTGATTTTTCGCCGTGGTTCCAAGTAAGGTGAATGTTTTGTAGTGTTGTGAATAGGCACTTAATGACTGGCTCCAAGGGAAACATTGAGTTTTGTTCGCCCTAGGGAGTTAGTGAGTTTTGACCCCCGATCGGAAAACGTATTTGAGTTGAAAGGTATAACAATGGCCTTTAACTGATGGCAAATATCTGCAATTAGCAACACCAGATACACATCGTCCTAGCATGGATAATGAGAGCAATAAATAAATTCTCAAAAAGCCATAAATTGTTTGGAGACTTACAGATTTTTTTCTGTGCTGGAGTACTGTTGGCATAGAGGTTCCACTAAAACATAAAAGCCGTTTTTCTGTGTCATCTCCTGCCTGGGTCTGCCCGGTTTTCTCATGGAGACATACTAAAAAAACAACATACTGAGTACAGAAAACAAAGAAACCAACCAAAAAACAAATATATGTAGTGTATGCGTTTGTATGTGTTTGCCCTTGTTTGCAAGACATGAAGGCATCATCATTATTTCTGAGAAGCCATACAGTATCTACTTAAGCACCCCTAAGAAATCACGCTTTTTCAGTCCTTATAAATGTAGTTCACAGCTAACTGAAGAAAAGAAAAAAAATTGCGTAACGGTCCACGGAGGACAAACATCGGTGCATATTTTCGTGCTGACGGTTCAAATTCTCCATGACATCCCTAAATAGTTCTGAAGTGGTCATTCGGCTTAAGATATTTTTTCTCATTTGTGATAACTCTAGAGAGTACATCTTGCAACTTTGACAGTGGACTTTGTTGCTGGCGACAGTCTAACCTAGATGTCTTTGACTGGACACTAAACACTGGATCAACAGGGTCTTCAAATACAGGTCCAGATTATGATCATACCAGTGGGTCAGGTAAAAGATGTCATCTACTTCCTTTGATCTTAACGTGTTTTAAATTTTCAACGTTTCGGAGTCCTTGTGACGCCATTATCGAGCAACATTTAATTAGCTTGCAGTATGTTATGGAGAATTTAGCGAACGTAAAAAGTGGCATCGTAACGTAAAAAGTGGAATATAAAAGCTAGATTACACAAACAGAATTAAATGCTTTCTCTACTCCTCCTCCTAGTAATTAGCTTAATTATACGGTTCAAATAAGCTTTGTTGTTGTTGTTCTCCTCCTCCTCCTCCTCCTCCTCGGTTTCGTTTCGTTTCAGGGGTATGTTAACGCTTCTACTATTTCTTACCTTCTTTACTTACTATCTACAACAGAATAGATAGTGAGTAGCGTAGCCAATCAGAGAACAGCATTCGCGATGGAACGGTAGTAGATTTACACTAAAACTCGATACTAACACAGAACTAGCACGGGCTGTTGACGTATATGTAATGATGGCACGAGCAAAGAGAATTTGCATTTTTCATGATCAAAATAAACAAGTTGATTTCTTCTTTTTGTCGCGGAATTTTCTAAACCAAATAGACGTAACATGTTCTCGGTGTTTCCATATCGAAAACGCTGTGGAAACAGTCGCCTGAGCTGTTGGCTTGTGTTATCACAGCATTTGTGGTATTTCAGTAATAGATCACATAAGACGTCAAAATGTGGTGAGAACAAAAAAGTGGCACACGAGGCGATAGCCCAGTGTCAAAATGACGCCACTGTCAAACTTGAATTAAACGACTTCAACTGCTTAATCCACAAAACTTGTACAAACACCGGAAAAGTCAAGTCAGTTTTTGTCATCAGAGCATCCCTGGGAGCTAAAAAACCTGGTCGTTGCTTGAATATTGCAGGAGTTGAAAAATGCGCTCAAAAAACTTGCGGTTGCGGTCAACATCGACACATTGGAGGCCACTCAAGTTCGAGGTTTGAATGAAAGGAGCGTTAGTGACGGTGGAAATTTGAGTCGCCTGTGGTTGGTGATTGTCAAATCAATTTGTTAAATAGTGTCCGGGACATTTTCTAGCTGCGATACAGACGGCCGTGAGCTGTAGTGAGGTAATAGTCAACTCCCTGCTCTGCCTTCAAACGGACTAGAACATATTTGCGTCGGAAAGCAAGGTTAATTTTAAGCTTAAGGCTGGGGTACATGTTAAATTCTGTAAAAATTGGAATTTTCTTTGTCATCGGCATTTGAATCTTAAGGTATTGAAGTTGTTTCATTCGCAGAATTTCTGTTACCGTAAGTTCAAAGCTCGTTTATTCAAAACGAGTTATCCTTGCCTTGGAGAAAACATAGTTTGAGAACGATTTGTCCAATTGAGCTGAAATTTTCAAGATTTGTTGTTCTAAGTAAGTTTCGCGTTTTAAGCATAGAACTTTGCCATCCAGTGCATTTTGACGAAGTTATGTATTGAAATATATGCTGGATTTTCTGTTTCAAATTTGACTGGTCACCATTTCATGTGCTTTTAACTTTTCAAAAATCTCTATGCTTAAAACACTAAGCTATTTGTCTTCTCTCAAAAGATTTTAAAAAAATTATTCATTTTGACCAGTTCTTGTAGGAGTTATCTTTTCTCAAGTAAGCCCTGGCATTCCCCAGCAGGTGGCAGATTTAATCAGCTGGTGTCAGGTTACAATACAATCCTAGGGTACAAAAATAGTTTTTCTCATAATCTTTGGTCTTTACGCTTTCTAAAAATGAACACTTTAACATGGTTTGGAATTAAATCTTAGCCATG